TGTGGCCTGGCAGTGGGCTTCCCTTTCTCACGGTGCTCATGGGGGGGAGGAGACTGGGGAGGATGGGGTCGGTGAAGCCCAGGAGGAGCGGCTGGCAAATCCTCCTTCGGAAACAGGTGGCAGCGAAGCAGGATGGACGGACGGTGGTATTTCCCACTCCCCGGAGCCCTCAGACCGCTGGGCACTACCAGGTTGGCATCTGGGAGCAGCGGCTGCTCTGGGCTGGGGTCCTCGTGGCTCACCGCCCCCTCCCCTGCGCCCGGCGGTGTTGCCAGGGCTCTGCGAAGGCTTCGTACCCACCATCCGATCTGGGCTTTGGTGACGCGAAGGAAGCATGGCAGTCCCGGGAGACGGGGCTGTCCCTCTGCCCTCTCGGTCCGAGCAGCACACAGAGGGAGCAGCGCCAGCTGCGGGGTTTGGGTTCCGCACTCTCGGCACAGGCGGGGCAGCAGCGGCCCTGCCAGCCCCACTCTCCTCCCCGTGGTTTCCTCTGGGCCCCCCTGCCTCGTCCCTGATGCCCAGCCCAGGGGCCCAGTGTCCATGGAGGAGAGGGGCCATGGCTGCCCCTGCAGGGCCCGGGCCAGGTGGTGCCTGAGAGGCAGCTGGGACCCGGGACCCTACTTAGGCTCACAGGGGGTTTTCTCTCGGCTTAAAAAGGAACCCCTTCCTGACCTTGCCCCCTCTACAGTACCCAGGGCCCCTTGCTGAGGGCGGAGGCCTCTAGCAGCCCTGCTGGGCAGGGCAGAGGGGACTCTGGGCTGGGGCAGGAGCCGGAGCTGGGGTCACCCAGCGGGGGCTGCTCTTCTGTGTCCCCCTCAGGGCTCTGCTCTGAGCAGTGAGGACCCCGGAGTGGGGAGCAGAGGAGGCAGGCACTAGGGGCTCCATGGGGGAGCCGAGCAGGATGAGGCTCCGGAGGAGGACTCTGGACAGAGGACCCCAGTGACAAGGCCCAGAGCCCTGCCTGCCGCCTGCGGCCCCAGGAAGGTGCTCCTGACGCCCTGGACCGTGGCGGCTGTGCAGCCGAGAGCAGAGTGGCCTCAATCTCACAGTGGAGCAGGCTCCGTCCCCCTCCCCTCCCCTGGCGGCCTGTGCCCTGTGCCCGGGGCCCTGTGCCCACAGGTACACAGCTACAGACTCGCTCCGCCTCCAAGGGAAGTGTGCGGGAGGGGGCGGGGGACCGGGCATGCATGGGGCTGATGCTGGCCTGGAGTCCTGGCTGGGGCAGGCACAGGCTAGGCAGCTGAGCATGAGGGGCTGGGCAGGCTGATGGAGGGGAGGGGGCTCAGGGAGAGGGTGGTCAGAGGGAGGCATACAGGGCAGAGCCAGGAGCCCAGGTTAGGGCAAGCCTCTGGGGGCAAGAAGCAGGTCTTGTGCCTCCTGGTACCTTCTTCTCTGGAAATAAAAAAACTGCCAGCAATCCCCTGCCTCAGGGTCCCCTCCACCCCAACACGTGTGCCTGGAGCCCTAGCGTGTGCCCTGGGCTGGGCCCACCACGCCAGGGCTCAGGACAGCACGCTGCACACGGGCTCCCCACCATGCCCGGGCTCAGGACAGCACGCTGCACACGGGCTCCCCACCACGCCTGGGCTCAGGACAGCACGCTGCACACGGGCTCCCCGCCACTCTGGGCTCAGGACAGCACGCTGCACACGGGCTCCCCGCCATGCCCGGGCTCAGGACAGCACGCTGCACACGGGCTCCCCGCCACTCCGGGCTCAGGACAGCACGCTGCACACGGGCTCCCCGCCACTCTGGGCTCAGGACAGCACGCTGCACACGGGCTCCCCACCACTCTGGGCTCAGGACAGCACGCTGCACACGGGCTCCCCGCCACTGTGGGCTCAGGACAGCACGCTGCACACGGGCTCCCCACCACCCCGGGCTCAGGACAGCACGCTGCACACGGGCTCCCCGCCAGCCCGGGCTCAGGACAGCACGCTGCACACGGGCTCCCCGCCAGCCCGGGCTCAGGACAGCACGCTGCACACGGGCTCCCCGCCACTCTGGGCTCAGGACAGCACGCTGCACACGGGCTCCCCGCCACTCTGGGCTCAGGACAGCACGCTGCACACGGACTCCCCGCCAGCCCGGGCTCAGGACAGCACGCTGCACACGGGCTCCCCGCCACCCTGGGCTCAGGACAGCACGCTGCACACGGACTCCCCGCCAGCCCGGGCTCAGGACAGCACGCTGCACACGGGCTCCCCGCCACTCTGGGCTCAGGACAGCACGCTGCACATGGGCTCCCCGCCATGCCCGGGCTCAGGACAGCACGCTGCACACGGGCTCCCCGCCATGCCCGGGCTCAGGACAGCACGCTGCACACGGGCTCCCCGCCACCCCGGGCTCAGGACAGCACGCTGCACACGGGCTCCCCGCCATGCCCGGGCTCAGGACAGCACGCTGCACACGGGCTCCCCGCCACTCTGGGCTCAGGACAGCACGCTGCACACGGGCTCCCCGCCACTCTGGGCTCAGGACAGCACGCTGCACACGGGCTCCCCGCCACCCCGGGCTCAGAACAGCACACTGCACACGGGCTCCCCGCCACTCTGGGCGCAGGACAGCACGCTGCACACGGGCTCCCCGCCACTCTGGGCAGCCGGTGCTTGTGCTCTGAGGGACGTTTCCTCTCCCCAGCTCACTCTGCTAAGAACAATACATACCGGTCACAGCACAACCTGGGTTAACAGCATTTTGGAAAGTCATGTTATGTTCTTATTTTCGACTGTGGGGGTCCTGGTGCCCCGCCCTGCATTGTTTAGGGCCAGCTGAACTTGGTGCTCCCCAAGGCAAGGTGTTGGCTGCTCTGTGCCATCCTGTGCCATGAGGCCTGGCTGCCCTGTGCCATCCTGTGCCCACTGCAGTCGCATGAGGCCTGGTGCTGCAGTCACACGGCTTACTGAACTGAAGCAGGGCCGATAGGAGTTCTGATGGATCTGATCGATGGCTTGGTCCGCAAGGACTGTGGGGCCCAGGAGCAGAGCGAGAAATAAAGCCGATGCCTGCAGAGCCAGAGTCCCTGGTCAGCTGTCATCACCATTTCCCAGCTGGGAACTCGGACGCCCCAAGTGCAGGAGCTGGCCGCCCTGGCCCCGGACACAGGGCTCCTCTCCGCCGGCTCCAGGCCTGAGCTCTTCTCAGAGGAGAGCTGCCTTTCCGGGAGCAAGGCTCAGGGTGACCGGGGAGGCTCCTCCGGCCTGGGCTGTGGCAACAGGCTCAGGGACAGCCGGCCGGAGAGCGCCCTGCGGAGCACCCACAAGAGGGAGGAGCAGCAGCAAGAGGAATTTCACCACCTTCTAGGGCCAAGGAGAGGAGGGTCGTTCTGCTGGGGAGAGAGCAAGGGGGGTGTGGCTGGGGCTGAGTTCTGAAACTGACCCCCAGATACTCTGGGACTGGAGGCCCGGGTCCCCTACTCTGGGTTCGGTCACCCCAGCTTCCACGCTGAGCTAACATTCCTGCTTGCTCACATGCAAATGGGGGTGGTAGTCATTTCCTTTCAGTCTTTGCTTCAGTGTCACCTCTGGGAGATTCAGCCTGCAGCCTTGCCCCTGCCACCCTCCCACTCCCTTCCCTGCTTTGGATGTCTGTCCATCTGTCTGTCTGTCTACCCACTTAGCTACTTACGTTTGTGTGCCTGCTGCCGAGGACAGAGGCCAGGGTCCTCCTGCTCATGGTGCCCGGTGCCCGCGCAGGCACATCAGAGCCCTGCACAGGTGATGGTGGCACGGCGAGTGAGGGTCAGGCGGGGCTGAGGGAGCCTCCGGGAGGCCAGCTGTCCCCCGGCTGGGCTGTCTGCTGAGTGTGGCGGTGCCGACGGCCTCTCCTCCGCCAGCCAGGAGCCCAGTCACGATGCTCTCTGGGCTTCCTCCTGCTCCCAGGACCGCAGCTCTCCGTCTTTCCTCCCGCAAACGCTCAGCCTGGCCGGTGCCCCCTCTGCGCCCGCCGCTCCCAGCAGCAGCTCCACGGCGTTTGGCGGGCTGGGCCCCCCATGGCAGTTCCCTTCGTGGCTGAGAGCGGGGGCACAGTGTGGCTGCGTCAGCCCACGACGGCTAGGAACAGTCTCCGCGCAGGTGTCTGTGGCTCATTAACTGGCTTTGGCCTGTTGTCTCAGAGCATTCAGTGCTTCCAATGGGCACAGTTCATCTTGGGCACGGTGAGTGGTCACTGGGTGAGTGCCTGTGTTAGGGGTTTTTGGAGAAACAGAGTTCAAGAGAGACATTCCAGCCACATGCCCTGCTTGGGATTTGGACATGCAGTCCTCAGAGGTGGTTAACGTAAAAACATTCCAACCTGCAAGAATTTTTGTGAGTTTATTTGAGCTAAACTGTCAACGATTGCTGGGAAGCAAACCTCAAAGGATTGGGCTCATGCTCTGGAGAATGGCGGGTTTTCACCCTGTTTTGTACCTTACCTGAAACGAGGGGATGTGAGTGGCTTACATGAAATCCACTGGCGTTAGATGAGGGGGTGACATGAAGTCCATTGGGGATAGATGAGGGGGTTACATGAAATCCATTGGTGATAGATTAGGGGGTTACATGAAGTCCATTGGGGATAGATGAGGGGGTTACATGAAATCCATTGGGAATAGATTAGGGGGTTACATGAAGTCCATTGGGGATAGATGAGGGGGTTACATGAAATCCACTGGCGTTAGATGAGGGGGTTACATGAAATCCATTGGGAATAGATTAGGGGGTTACATGAAATCCACTGGTGATAGGTCCCTGGCTGTGGACATCCCTTCTGGGGACAGGTGGTACCTTAGGGCTCTCGAGAGCACCTGTTTTAGGGGCTCAGGCCGAGTGGGCTTAGAATGTCTTCCCATTCTGGAGCCCGGGTCCCCACAGCTGCCCCATGGGGTTTCGGGAGCAGAGCCGGCCTGGCACTCATTGGCATTCACTGAGTAACCTGGATGCCTCGGAGGAAGAGGGGGAGGAGGAGGGTGGAAGGAGGAGGGTGAGGGACAGGTCTGGCTGGTTCTGCCCTGTTGTTTGTGCCTGGGATTACCTCACACTCCCGACCGGCTTCCCCGCCCCGCCTGGTGGGGGCCGGCCCTCGGCCGCCAGCCCCCTCTCCCCACATGCCCGAGGAGCCAGGGGCCAACATGGACCTTCCTGTCAACATCAGCTGAGTCTGGGAGCCTCATCCCGGGGAGGCCATGGAGACGGACAGCCGCCCGGTGAGTCCTGGGCCCGGGCCAGACCTCCTGGCAGAGAGAAGGCATGGCGGGGCCTCAGGGTGGGGGCAACGGAAGGGGCCTTTTCTGCTGAGAAGCTGCTGGAGACCAAGAGCTCTTGCCCTCTCTAGGGAGGAGGGACAACAAGCCGGGCTGTTGGGAGGCGCCCAGGCTGTGTGGCTGGAGCAGGCGTGCGCTCTGTGGCCTGGGAGCACCCGGCCAGGAGGCTTCTGCTGGGAGGTGTCTGCTCTGCTGGTCTGAGGGTCACGGGCCCTTCGGACTCTAACCGGGCTCTGGGCCTCGGGGCCTCCTCTCCGGGCTTCTAGCCCTTCCACAGTGCCACCATGTGCTTTCCAGGCCAAGGGCATTCCCTCCTCCCTGGGCCACACACGTTGCGGCTGAATCACCTGCTGCCGGAAGGGCCTCCGGGTCTGGCCACAGCCCTCCCGCTCGCTGCCTGCCGTGCCGGCTCCTCTCCTCGCAGCTGCGGTTGGGGGTTGGGGGTTCAGGGTGGAGAAGAGGGGTGCTGAAAGCAGTGAGTGCTCCGTGGGGCCTGTTCCCCTGTGTCCCTGTGTTCTCCTCCTCAGGAGCTCTGACGCCTCCTGGGCCCCATGTCTCCTCCTCCCACCCCCTCTCGCTCTGCACTGAGGGGGGACAGGGACTCTGGGAAGCAGAGGGTGATGGTCAGAGAGAGCAGAGCGTTGTCTGGGGCATGAAGGACTGTGCCCACAGTCCCAGCCAGGGACCTTGGGGGCTTGCTGGGGCCTAACGTGAGGTCCCTAAAAGCAGCAAGGGGAAGGGGAGCTCTCCGAAGGGGGCGGGGCCGGCCCGGGAAAGGGGAGGGCAATGGGCCTGGGAGCACCTGTCCTCCGGGGCCCGGGACCACAGGGGAGGGCATGGAGGGGCACAGGGTGGAGAGCAGGCTTTTCATGATCGTGGAGCGTGTGGACGGTGTGGGGGCGCCATGTGCCTTCGGGGGCTGATCTAACTTATACCAGAATGGAAGATGTGCGCCCGACTTCCTTACTGAAGTTTCTCGAATGCACCCCTGTTTAAGGTAGAGCTGCCAGACAGGAGCTGGGGATGAAGGGGGGGCAGGGGGAGCTGCCGGGGGGCGGGGGGAGGCGGGCATTAATGACACTGAAGAGGGGTGGCTGGGGAGGACGCTTGCAGAGCAGCGCCCGCCACTGCTGTTCTCCCTCGGGGCTGTGAGGAAGGAGCCGGGCCGGAGCCGGATGGAGCGCCTGGGAGGCCGGGAGGGTCTCAGGGGGTCTTGGCAAAGGGGTGAGGAGGTCCTCGAGTCCGTCTTCCAAGGAGGAGCTGCGGGATGCGGTGGACAGAACACGGGCCAGCTCAGCTGTGACCCGGCCTCTGTAACGTGGGATAAAAACTGTTTACTTGAGGGTCTTAGAGCAGTTCACCTAGAGGCTCCTTTAGAATAGTGTCTGCCATCACTGGGGACAGACAGACAGGCAGGGGCAGAGACAGGGCAGGAGCAGGGCAGGGGCAGGGGCAGGGGCAGGGGCAGAGGCAGAGGAAGACAGAGATTGATTCAGAGCCAAGGTTTGTTGTCATCATCCTCTATGCTCTTGTCCCGGCTCCTGTCAAAATGTGGGCAAAGTCTTCTCTCCGTTGACTATGTTTTCCCACCATCAAATCTGAGGCCTGGACACCTGGCCCCCAGAGGCCCGTGTGTGGCCCCTGAGACCACAGAAAAGGGGTTCCAGGTGCACCATATTGGTATGTACTGGCTTTTTCACAGTGTGCACTTGGTGTGTTTTAAATAAGCCACAGCCTCCATGCTTACAGGGGGGAATGTTTATTAGAGAGAGGCCGACGGGACCCATGATGGCAGCCATCCTTTGCTGAGTGGATGTTCCTGTGCTTCCTTGTATTTGCTTAACGTGGCACGGCTCCAGCCGGCCCGGACCACGGCGCTGTGGCCCGGACCCGGGCTGAGGTCCCCGGGAGGGCTCAGCTGCGGCCCCTCCCCACAGGGGGCCGGGCAAGTTTCCAAGATGCCAGACCCGCAGGCGCAGGCCACGCCATCCCCCAAACTAGTGCAGGCACTTCAGGACCCGGCACCCGCCCTGCATTTGCAGGCATGCGCCCTCACCTCCGACCTCTGTCTCACATCGTCATGGTGCCTGGCAGACCTCCACCCTGCACCGTCATCCTGCCCTTTGCCCTCTGCCCTCTGCCCTCTGCCCCCTGCCCCCTGCGCCCTCCGCCCTCCGCCCTCCACCCTCCACCCTCCGCCCTCTGCCCTGCCTCGCTGTGCTTCCCCTGGGCACTGGCATGTGTGGGAGTGTGTGGGCCTGGGCGCTGGGCCTGGGCAGGAAGGCGGCTGATTTAACAATAGCCACTTAATCTAAGTGTCTTGTTTTGGCAACACAGCTTCCTCGTGGCACACGGCACGGAGGTGGACCGTGCCCATCTGGGTGTGCAGGGTGCTGGGTGGGGGCTCGGGGAGGCCTGGTGGCACCCGCTGGCTGCGGCTTGTCTGCCAAGGGAGCCTCGGCATCAGCAGAGGGGTGCCCATGGGAGCCGCGGCAGGAAGTCCCTACACCATCCAGTGCTCCTGGCCTGGCAGCCGTGGCCACTCAACATCTCTACATGATTTGACGAATGAATTAATAATAAGTGAATGGAAAATGAGTGAGTGGTCCTGGCCGGTTTGGCTCAGTGGATAGAGCGCCGGCCTGCGTACGGAAGGATCCTGGGTTCGATTCTGGTCAAGGGCACAGGCCCGGGTTGCAGGCTCGATCCCCAGTGCGGGGCGTGCAGGAGGCAGCCGATCCATGATTCTCTCTCATCATGGATGTTTCTATCTCTCCCTCTCTCTTCCTCTCTGAAATCAATAAAAATATATTTTTTTAAAAAGGAAGGAAAACGAGGGAACAAACGAAGGGGCGGGAGGTGCTCTGAGTCTGGCCGTTCCTGTGTGTCTAGGAGGTGCCCCTCTGCGGTGACCTTAGCATCCGGGCAGTGGCCCTCACACTCTCGGTGGCAGCAGGCGCTTCCTTGGCAGGGGAATCTGGCTCTTCTCTGCCTGAAGTGGGCGAGGGACTCCAAGCCCCTGACCTGTGAATCGCTCCCGGCCCCTCTGTGCGGCCTCGATGCCCGTGGACCCTGCTGGGATGCCGCTGGCTGTCCAGCCCCTGGTTTTGCAGACCCGGAGGTGAGGGATGTGACACCAGTAGGCCACGCAGGAGCAGGAGCAGGAGGCCGTGCCTCCCACGTGTGGAGAAAAGAGGACTCGTGGCCCTGCCTCCCAGTCTGGGGCCCGCTGGATCCCAGGCTGACCGGGACCCGGGGTTGGCACGCTGGTGGCTGGGGAGAGATGCTGGAATCAGAGGGGAGCCGGTGGTTGTGGGTTTCTCTCGGTCCAGGGAGAGGAGAACAGGGGGAGCCTCTGCTGCTGCAGGCGCAGGGACCTGGGCTGAGCAGTGCGAATGGGGAGCTGAGGATCTGCCCGTCCCAGAGCGGCCAGCGCCTGGAGGTCTCTCAGTCTCTGAGTCCACACGGCAGCGGCCTCTGCGGGCAAGAGGGCTGTTCGGTGCCATCACAGGGACCCCTGAGCTTTCCGGAACTCCCCTGTGCTTCCAGCTGGCGGGGAGCACTTCTTCCTGCCTGGCCCAGCCTGGGCCCTGCCTGTGCCCATTCCTTCCAACACCCGCACCGCTCAGGGCCACTGCAGAGCGGGGCTGCCACAAGGCCTGGGTCTGGGGAGGGCCTGCCTGGCAAGCTGAGCGGGCAGCGAGCAGCGGGCACGGACAGCGGGCAATGGGCACCAGCAGCAGGCAGCGGGCAAGGGTTGTGCCTTTCTGGGCCTCGGCCGCCTCAGCAGTAGGATGGAGATTTGGACTGGCGTTTGTAAGGCCCTCGGGACTCTGCCAGCTGTGCTTGCCTGCCCTGGGCTGAGGCTGAGGGGGCCCTAGGGCCCCGGCTGGGCTTGCCCTTGGGCTGTGAGGCTGCGTGGGGGCCGCTACTGCGATGGGCATAGCTTAGGGCCGGGGAGCAGTCCCCACCCAGAGCCCAGGGCTCAGGCCGTGGCTGTGGCCTGGGCCATGACGGCACTCAGACCAGTCCCTCCACGCAGGCCGAGCGGCTCGTGGGCTCACTCCCACCCCCACCGGGCAGGGCCTCTGGGCAGAGCGTGCTCAGAGTGAGTGTGCAGGTCCCCGTTCACCTTGGGGCCCGGAGCTACCACCGGGCACTGCGGGCAGAGGGCCCGGAGCTACCACCGGGCACCGAGGGCAGAGGGCATGAAGCTACCACCGGGCCCCGCGGGCAGAGGGCACAGAGCTACCACCGGGCACTGCGGGCAGAGGGCCCGGAGCTACCACCGGGCACTGCGGGCAGAGGGCCCGGAGCTACCACCGGGCACTGCGGGCAGAGGGCCCGGAGCTACCACCGGGCACTGCGGGCAGAGGGCCCGGAGTTACCACCGGGCACCGAGGGCAGAGGGCACGGAGCTACCACCGGGCACTGCGGGCAGAGGGCACGGAGCTACCACCGGGCCCCGCAGGCAGAGGGCCCGGAGCTACCACCGGGCACTGCGGGCAGAGGGCACGGAGCTACCACCGGGCACTGCGGGCAGAGGGCACAGAGCTACCACCGGGCACTGCGGGCAGAGGGCACGGAGCTACCACCGGGCACTGCGGGCAGAGGGCATGGAGCTACCACCGGGCACTGCGGGCAGATGGCACGGAGCTACCACCGGGCACTGCGGGCAGAGGGCACGGAGCTACCACTGGGCACTGCGGGCAGAGGGCACGAAGCTGGGCCAAGGCGCCTTGGGCTTTCCTGCCTCCTGGCACCAAGATATTCCCAAGGGACTTCGGAGAAAGCACATACATGGTTTGGGCCTCTACCTCCTTGTCTGTGAAATGGGAAGAACAATCCTCATTGGCTCCTGTCCAGGAAAGAGCCCCTGCTCTCTTCAGCCACCACCCCCCTCCCCGCCCCAGGGCCCTGCCCACCTGCTGCCAGCCAGGCTGCTTCTGCCCCCTGAGGGGCTTGGGTGGGATGCCCGGGAGCAGCCTGGGGAGTGCTGGCCATGATGGGGGAGGGCCCAGGCCGTTAGCCCAGGCGGTCCTCACCGGGACCGGCCGGGGGATGGGAGGACAGGCAGGCCAGGAGGGAAAGACTGGCAGTGCCGGGCCAGGGCACTGCATCACCTCCGTCTGACTCTGCCCTGCCACACGCTGCCCGCCCGGCCGGTGAGGACCCTCAAACTGCAGGCAAGTTGGGGGAGCTGGGCCCCGGCCCAGGAGCTGTCGCCTGAGCCTCGTTCCTGGTTGTCTGCATGCTGGCGGGTCTCAGAGGGTGTGTGTGGGGGGGGGGGGGGGGGAGGGGGCCTGGCCTGCGCTGGCTCTGCCCGGGAATCTGGCATTCTGAAGGGGAGGTCTCCCCTTGGGCTGAGGTGTCTGCACAGGGGTGCAGCAGGTCTGGCGAGAGCCTCGCTCCAGGAGTTGAGGAGAGGACGTGAGGCCCGGGCTGTAGGCTGGACACCAGAGGACATCATGGGGGGAGCCTGCGGAGGGGAGAGGACGGCTGCGGAGTCTCGCACGTGGAGTCCAGAACATGGAACTCCTCGCTCCACTGGGTTTGAGCCGAGAGGTGGACGGAGGATGGGAATTCCCCGAGGCTGGGCAGACTCAGGTGAGAACAGGGACAAAGGCCTGCCAGGCAGACTGCCGCATTGCGGAGGCCAAGGCTCGGCAGCACTGTGCGGGGGGTTTTAGTCCGGCTTTGTCCAGCCCCCTCCCGTCCCCCTAAGCGGAGCTGGCACTGCCCGTCGGCCCCCTGGCTGTGCCCGTGGCCGTCTCCGCTCTGCACGTGGTGCTGGGTGTGCGGTGCACAGGGGCGAGGAGTGGCCCCCTGCCAGCACCGTGTGCCGGCGGACAGGAGCGTCCCGCTCACCGGTGAGTCCTCGGAAGTGCTGTGCTGTTCTCCAGATCAAGAACAGGAAGAAGGAACATGAGTGGCTTTCCCGAGGTCACAGGGGCCACGCTGGTGGCCCAGGATCAGCTGGCCTGGCCCCATGTGGTCAGCGGACACCCACCACCTTCCACACGGCCTCACTTGCTCTCCTGGCCCCCGTCCTGTTCCCTGATCTGTTCTCCTAGCTCCCCCAGTCCCGTTCCCTCCAGGGGCTGGTCTGTTCTCATTCTCTGGAACCTACAAGCGCCAGGAAGGGGACCAAGCTCTGGGCCACTGGGCTCAGCGGTGGTCAGCAGCCGCCCTTCAGGCTCCCAAACACGCGCGTGTCCCTGCCGCTGCTGTGTGCGCTCCCCGCGGGTGGGATCGGCAGAGGCTCCTCCTGGAATTCACCCCCAGGCTCCACACACATGAGCAGTGACACGCCAGTGGCTCTGACTCTGAGAGAACAAATATCAGAGCGACAGCTACCTGCAGCAGGTGCTGCAGCCTGGGGGTCAGCGTGAGAGGACTCACTCGCTGGTCGACGAGAGAGCGCGTCCGGGGGTTCCCAGCTCCGTGGGCGGGGAGGGAGGAGAAGGTGCCGGGCCCAGACCCTGTGCCCTCGGCTCACCACAGGCCGAGCCCCCACATTCCTGCGGCTCCCTGAGGCCATCTCAGTGCAGCTGGTCAGCGTTCCGCAGAAATCACGGTGAGGGCGGTGAGGCCCCGGGCCGGGTCAATCCCAGCTCTGCTGCGCTCTGGGGCCTTCTGGGGGGGACCTGAGAGGAGGGCTGGTGTGAGGGAGGATGGAGAGATCCGATTAGGGGCAGAGGGAGGTGAGAAGGGGCCCGAACTGTTTGAAGGGCCTGGCGTCCTGCAGACCAGGGCTCAACGCCAGCAGAGGCTGCACGCCTTCCCAACGGTCCGCCTGCCGGCTCCCCCCCAGATGGAGACCGTCAGAGGGCGCAGGGGGAGGCACAGCTGGGTCTCCAGGGGCAGCAGCCCTGCGCTCTTCCATCGCCTGCTGTGACCATGGCTGTGACCGTGGCTGTGACCGTGGCTGTGACCGTGGACCGTGGCTGTGACTGTGGCTGTGACCGTGGCTGTGACCTTGGCTGTGACCGTGGCTGTGACCGTGGCTGTGACTATAGCTGTGACCGTGGCTGTGACCATAGCTGTGACCGTGGCTGTGACCTTGGCTGTGACCATGGCTGTGACCGTGGCTGTGACCATGGCTGTGACCATGGCTGTAACCGTGGCTGTGACCGTGGCTGTGACCATGGCTGTGACCATGGCTGTGACCATAGCTGTGACCGTGGCTGTGACCGTGGCTGTGACCGTGGCTGTGACCATGGCTGTGACCGTGGCTGTGACCATAGCTGTGACCGTGGCTGTGACCGTGGCTGTGACCTTGGCTGTGACCGTGGCTGTGACCATGGCTGTGACCATAGCTGTGACCGTGGCTGTGACCGTGGCTGTGACCTTGGCTGTGACCGTGGCTGTGACCATGGCTGTGACCATAGCTGTGACCGTGGCTGTGACCATAGTTGTGACCGTGGCTATGACCGTGGCTGTGACCATAGCTGTGACCGTGGCTGTGACCATAGCTGTGACCGTGGCTGCACGGTCTCACACGCCCCTCAGAGGCAGCCGCCTGTGGTCAGGACAGGGCCCCCAGAACCTCCTTCCTGGGCTCACCTGGGGGCTCCAGCAGCTTAATTGCATGGCTTAGTCGCTCAGCCTCTGCAAAATGGGGGTGAGAGTGCCCCTCAGAGGGCTGCTCTGGCGACGAGATGAGGAAATACACACCAGCACTCAGAGCCCCTTCTCGGTGGCCATGGGTAAATTAGTGCTCCCACCGCGTCCCCCTGTGCCGTTGCCTGTGTGTGTGCATGTGTGTGTGCATGTGTGTGTGTGTGTGCGTGTGTGTGTGTGTGTGTACTGTGTTAATTCTGGGGTTACTGAGTGTTGGGGTGTAAGACAAGTCAGGGCTCTTCTTAAGCTGTGCGTTTCACATGTTTGATGGTAGGGCCAGTGTTACAGGCTAACACACACACACCAGCATGGCCGGTGCGGGGAGAGGAGAGGAGAGGGCGGAGGGTGGTTTCCACCCCCACGTGGACCATAGCTCTCTGCTGCCTTTGGGGGAGGAGCTGGCCCAGCTGCCTCTCCTGTGAGGGGCCTTAGACACGTCGAGCCAAAGCAGGTGCCCCCACGCCCAGGCAGATGGCACTGTCCCCTGCCCACCTTTGCAGGGCCTGTGACAGGGAGAGGCTTTAGGGAGCTGGGACTCTGGGCTCATTTTACCCCTGGGCCCACCTGTCTTCCCACATATTCCCCCTGCCACAGCCCTACCCCCTACCCCCTGGCTCTGCCTTCCTGCCCCAGCCCTGCCCCCCAGCCCCAGCCCTGCTCCTCCAGCCTCTTGCTTCAGAGCGGGTCCCTGGAGCTCAGAGGGCTTGCACCTGGATGGCTGGCAGGGACACAGCCTGAGGGAGCCTTTGCTCCGCTTTCAGAATGCTTCCCCGGCAAGGACTCCAGCCCGGGCATCACCTTCCAGGGCATCGTCCGGCAGGTCCCCATCCGGCAGGTCACCGTCCGGCAGGTCACCGTCCGGCAGGTCACCGTCCGGCAGGTCACCGTCCGGCAGGGCACCGTCCGGAGGGGCACCGTCCGGAGGGGCACCGTCCGGCAGGTCAGCACCGTCCAGCAGGGCACCGTCTGCCAGCTCAGCCTCCACAGCACCCCCTCCAAGGAGAGTGCACCTGGTCAGAGCAACACCTCTGGGGGCCACTCCCATCCGGGCCTCTCCTGCCACGTCAGCGCCAGCCACCAGGGCTGCCAGGGAGACGCCAGGTGAGGAGCGGCTGCAGGAGGAGGGGCGGTCCATGGGGGGAGGAAGGCTTGGCCTTGGCTCGCTCCTGGGTGGCCATGTGTGGGAGGAAGGGAACAGGGGACAGCAGGGGCCTGGCAGGGAGGGCAGAAGGAGTCGTTAAGGCAAACCCAAGGCAGCCAGCACTGGGGCACGGGGGACTCCCTGCGGAGGCTGCTGTGGGGCTGGGTGCCCACCTCCAGGGCACGGGTCCAGCCAGGCCCCGCAGGGCAGGCCCTCCACCCTCACCTCCCACCGCCTGCCCCTAGGTGCCCGCTCGCCCAAGTTCTCCTGGCAGGAGGGCCAGAAGCGGCTGCCGCTCATCGGCTGCATCCTCCTGCTCATCGCGCTGGTGGCTTCGCTCATCCTGCTCTGTGAGTGGACGGGGCGGCGGGGGGGGGGGGGGGGGGGCATGCACCTTGTGGGGGGCCGGGATGTGGCCATGGGGGCGGTGCCGGAGCACAGCAGGAACACGGAGGCCACCACTGCCAACGGCCTCGGACACGGTGCCCCCAGGCCCCTCTGAAGCCGGGGGTGAGGAGTGTGGGAGTCAGAGAAGCCAGGGCTCCCGGCCCGTCTGTCCTTCCTGCTCAGAGCTCAGGTTCTGCATCTTCAAATGAGATGGAATTCATTCGTTCACTCATTCACTCGTTCACTCATTCATTCAACTTACTACGTGCCCAGGAGAGTCCCGTAAAGACTTCACGGTGAAGAGGAGTCAGGGAGATCTGGCACACAGCCCACTGGGAACATAAACACTCCGATTAGGGAAGGTTTCAGCATTTCCCGGCACTGAGATAACCTGTTCTGGGTGCAGGAGTTCCCCTCTTTGGGAACGATGCTCAGGACGTGTCCCGGGCCCTGTCCGGGGGCGGCTGGGGACCCAGCACGGGGGCCTGGGAGTGGGAGGGCACCTCCTCTGTGAGCAGCCCGCCCTCTCCCCACGCACCCCGCCACCTGCCTCCTGTGCCTGGAGAGCCCCGTCTGTCGTGTGCGCACCTGGCCAGGGTGGGAGGGCCAGATGCGGGAGGGCTGGGTGCCGGCAGGGCCACTGGAGTGAGGGCCAAGATAGGGGCCATGTACTGGTTAGAACACGGCTTCGGTGACCCCACAGGTTAGTAATTCCCGAGCCTCACTCCCCACGAGGTGCAGGCGTGGCTGTCACGGTGCCTGTGAGCCCGCCCCGGGGGTCCACATGCACCTTCTTCAGGGCTCGGGCTCGCTGCCCGCTCTGCCTCCTGTTCCCGCACCTCCAGGGACCCCCACCATCTGGAGAGCCCCAGGAAGAGCCTCCTGGCACAGCTCCCAGCGTGCTCCCGCATGCCTGAGTCCTCCGGCCCCTGGTCCTTCCAGCGCCAGGGAGGGGGGCATGACTAGAGCCCAGGCCTGACTCCCACCCAGAGCTTTTCCCACAGACGTCAAGGGGACCATGGCCCGTCCGGGGCACAGGCCGTGGGCAGGGGGGAGTGGGCACTGAGTGGGCACATCTCGCAGATCAGGAGGGTTTGGCCTCTGAACCTGGAAGGAGCAGTCACACAGGTGACCTTCACCCAGGGGGTCACACAGGTGACCTTCACCCTGGGGTCACACAGGTGACCTTCACCTGGGATCATACAGGTGACCTTCACCCTGGGGTCACACAGGTGGCCTTCATCCTGGGGTGACACAGGTAACCTTCACCCTGGGGGTCACACAGGTAACCTTCATCCTGAGGGTCACAGATATGACCTTCACCCAGGGGGTCACACAGGTGACCTTCACCCTGGGGTCATACAGGTGACCTTCACCCTGCGGTCACACAGGTGGCCTTCACCCTGAGGTCACAAATATGACCTTCATCCTGGGGTCACACAGGTGACCTTCATCCTGGGGTCACACAGGTGACCTTCACCCTGGGGTCATACAGGTGACCTTCACCCTGCGGTCACACAGGTGACCTTCACCCTGGGGTCATACAGGTGACCTTCACCCTGCGGTCACACAGGTGGCCTTCACCCTGAGGTCACAAATATGACCTTCATCCTGGGGTCACACAGGTGACCTTCATCCTGGGGTCACACAGGTGACCTTCACCCTGGGGTCATACAGGTGACCTTCACCCTGCGGTCACACAGGTGACCTTCACCCTGGGGTCACACAGGTGACCTTCACCCTGGGGTCATACAGGTGACCTTCACCCTGGGGGGTCACACAGGTGACCTTCACCCCGAGGTCACACAGGTGACCTTCATCCTGGGGTCACACAGGTGACCTTCACCCTGGGGTCATACAGGTGACCTTCACCCTGCGGTCACACAGGTGGCCTTCACCCTGAGGTCACACAGGTGACCTTCATCCTGGGGGGTCACACAGGTGACCTTCACCCCGAGGTCACACAGGTGACCTTCATCCTGGGGTCACACAGGTGACCTTCATCCTGGGGTCACACAGGTGACCTTCACCCTGTGGTCACAGATATGACCTTCACCCTGGGGGGTCACACAGGTGACCTTCATCCTGGGGTCACACAGGTGACTTTCACCCTGGGGATCATAGATATGACCTTCACCCTGGGAGTCACACAGGTGGCCTTCACCCTGGGGGTCACACAGGTGACCTTCACCCAGGGGGTCACACAGGTGACCTTCACCCTGGGGGTCATAGATATGACCTTCACCCTGGGGGTCACACAGGTGACCTTCACCCTGGGGGGTCACACAGGTGACCTTCACCCCGAGGTCACACAGGTGACCTTCATCCTGGGGTCACACAGGTGACCTTCACCCTGCGGTCACACAGGTGACCTTCACCCTGCGGTCACAGATATGACCTTCACCCTGGGGGGTCACACAGGTGACCTTCATCCTGGGGTCACACAGGTGACCTTCACCCTGGAGGTCACACAGGTGACCTTCACCCTGGGGGGTCACACAGTTGACCTTCATCCTGGGGTCACACAGGTGACCTTCACCCCGAGGTCACACAGGTGACCTTCACCCCGAGGTCACACAGGTGGCCTTCCCCCTGGGGGTCACACAGGTGACCTTCCCCCTGGGGGGTCACACAGGTGACCTTCATCCTGGGGGGTCACACAGGTGACCTTCACCCTGGGGATCATAGATATGACCTTCCCCCTGGGGGTCACACAGGTGACCTTCACCCTGGGGTCACACAGGTGGCCTTCACCCTGGGGTCACACAGGTGGCCTTCACCCTGGGGTCACACAGGTGGCCTTCACCCTGGGGGTCACACAGGTGACCTTCACCCTGGGGTCACACAGGTGGCCTTCCCCCTGGGGGTCACACAGGTGACCTTCACCCTGGGGGTCACACAGGTGACCTTCACCCTGCGGTCACACAGGTGACCTTCACCCTGCGGTCACAGATATGACCTTCACCCTGGGGGGGTCACACAGGTGACCTTCATCCTGGGGTCACACAGGTGGCCTTCACCCTGGAGGTCACACAGGTGACCTTCACCCCGAGGTCACACAGGTGACCTTCACCCCGAGGTCACACAGGTGGCCTTCCCCCTGGGGGTCACACAGGTGACCTTACCCATGGGGGGTCACACAGGTGACCTTCATCCTGGGGGGACACACAGGTGACCTTCACCCTGGGGATCATAGATATGACCTTCCCCCTGGGGGTCACACAGGTGACCTTCACCCTGGGGTCACACAGGTGGCCTTCACCCTGGGGTCACACAGGTGACCTTCCCCCTGGGGGGTCACACAGGTGACCTTCATCCTGGGGGGTCACACAGGTGACCTTCACCCTGGGGATCATAGATATGACCTTCCCCCTGGGGGTCACACAGGTGACCTTCACCCTGGGGTCACACAGGTGACCTTCACCCTGGGGTCACACAGGTGGCCTTCACCCTGGGGGTCACACAGGTGACCTTCACCCTGGGGACACACAGGTGGCCTTCCCCCTGGGGGTCACACAGGTGACCTTCACCCTGGGGTCACACAGGTGACCTTCACCCTGCGGTCACACAGGTGACCTTCACCCTGCGGTCACAGATATGACCTTCACCCTGGGGGGGTCACACAGGTGACCTTCATCCTGGGGTCACACAGGTGGCCTTCACCCTGGAGGTCACACAGGTGACCTTCACCCCGAGGTCACACAGGTGACCTTCACCCCGAGGTCACACAGGTGGCCTTCCCCCTGGGGGTCACACAGGTGACCTTCCCCCTGGGGGGTCACACAGGTGACCTTCATCCTGGGGGGTCACACAGGTGACCTTCACCCTGGGGATCATAGATATGACCTTCCCCCTGGGGGTCACACAGGTGACCTTCACCCTGGGGTCACACAGGTGGCCTTCACCCTGGGGTCACACAGGTGGCCTTCACCCTGGGGTCACACAGGTGGCCTTCACCCTGGGGGTCACACAGGTGACCTTCACCCTGGGGACACACAGGTGGCCTTCCCCCTGGGGGTCACACAGGTGACCTTCACCCTGGGGTCACACAGGTGACCTTCACCCTGCGGTCACACAGGTGACCTTCACCCTGCGGTCACAGATATGACCTTCACCCTGGGGGGGTCACACAGGTGACCTTCATCCTGGGGTCACACAGGTGGCCTTCACCCTGGAGGTCACACAGGTGACCTTCACCCCGAGGTCACACAGGTGACCTTCACCCCGAGGTCACACAGGTGGCCTTCCCCCTGGGGGTCACACAGGTGACCTTACCCATGGGGGGTCACACAGGTGACCTTCATCCTGGGGGGTCACACAGGTGACCTTCACCCTGGGGATCATAGATATGGCCTTCCCCCTGGGGGTCACACAGGTGACCTTCACCCTGGGGTCACACAGGTGGCCTTCACCCTGGGGTCACACAGGTGACCTTCCCCCTGGGGGGTCACACAGGTGACCTTCATCCTGGGGGGTCACACAGGTGACCTTCACCCTGGGGATCATAGATATGACCTTCCCCCTGGGGGTCACACAGGTGACCTTCACCCTGGGGTCACACAGGTGGCCTTCACCCTGGGGTCACACAGGTGGCCTTCACCCTGGGGGTCACACAGGTGACCTTCACCCTGGGGACACACAGGTGGCCTTCCCCCTGGGGGTCACACAGGTGACCTTCACCCTGGGGTCACACAGGTGACCTTCACCCTGCGGGCACACAGGTGACCTTCACCCTGCGGTCACAGATATGACCTTCACCCTGGGGGGGTCACACAGGTGACCTTCATCCTGGGGTCACACAGGTGGCCTTCACCCTGGAGGTCACACAGGTGACCTTCACCCCGAGGTCACACAGGTGACCTTCACCCCGAAGTCACACAGGTGGCCTTCCCCCTGGGGGTCACACAGGTGACCTTCCCCCTGGGGGGTCACACAGGTGACCTTCATCCTGGGGGGTCACACAGGTGACCTTCACCCTGGGGATCATAGATATGACCTTCCCCCTGGGGGTCACACAGGTGACCTTCACCCTGGGGTCACACAGGTGGCCTTCACCCTGGGGTCACACAGGTGGCCTTCCCCCTGGGGGTCACACAGGTGACCTTCACCCTGGGGTCACACAGGTGGCCTTCACCCTGGGGTCACACAGGTGGCCTTCCCCCTGGGGGTCACACAGGTGACCTTCACCCTGGGGTCACACAGGTGACCTTTACCCTGGGGATCATAGATATGACCTTCCCCCTGGGGGTCACACAGGTGGCCTTCACCTTGGGGTCACACAGGTGGCCTTCCCCCTGGGGGTCACACAGGTGGCCTTCACCCAGGGGGTCACACAGGTGGCCTTCCCCCTGGGGTCACACAGGTGGCCTTCCCCCTGGGGGTCACACAGGTGGCCTTCACCCTGGGGGTGGAGTGAGTGGAGGACGGGAAGCAGGGTCAGGGCCGGCACAGCAGGGTGGGGAGTAGCGCCTCTGGCTTCCCAGGCCGGTGTGTGCAGGCGGGCTAACAGCTCTGGGGGGGACGCAGGGGCAGATGCAGGGAGCCAGCGTGCGGGGAAAGGGTGTGTGAGGCGTGTGCACCTCCGTGGCTCTTTGGTGGGAAAGCATTTAAAAGCACAGTGTGGGCCAGGAGTGAGTTAGGAGACCTCGTGGCCTAGGAGCAGACAGCACCCAGGAGCTCGTGCGGCCGAAGGACCTCCTTGGAGAGCAGACCGGTGCTTAGCCATGTCTGCCACCGGCACAGCGGAGGCACTGCGGCGAGGGCTCCGAGGGGCCGGGCCTGCGGGATGGCTCCCTGGCCCCCGCTCTGGCCAGCATCAGGCAGGGGGCTCACGAGGCCGTCCCCACACCTCCCTCCCTCTCTCTCCTTCTCTCTCTGGGTGGCTGCTCAGGCCGGCCTGGTGCTGCCCTGCTTGCAGGAGCTTTCTGGAGCATTCTGGAACATTCCTGAGTAGCCTTTTTCTCCATACAGATGGGGGACGAGAGCCCCAGAGTCCGAGAGGGATTGCAGGTCGGTGTCTCAGAACCCTGGGCCTCGGGCTGCTCCATGTCTGCTCGCCGCGGGCTGGCGTGACAGTGCTGTGTGCTTCCTCTTTTCCAGTCTACTTCTGGAGGGGCCACACGAGGATCAAGTACAAGGAGGCGGTGGAGAGCTGCCCCCGGCACGCGGTGCGCTGTGACGGCGTGGCCGACTGCAAGCTGAAGAGTGACGAGCTGGGCTGCGGTGAGCGGGCTGGGCGTGCACGCGTGCACGTGCGCATGTGTGAGTGTGCATGTGTGTGTCTGTGCGTGTGCATGTGTGCGTGAGTATGCATGAGTGTGTGTGTACGAGAGTGTGTGTGTGTATGTGAGTGTGTGTGTGTGTGTGTATGGCTATGTGTGTGTGTGAGAGAGAGAGTGTGCAGGTATGTGCATGTATGTGTGGATGTGTGAGTATGCATGTGTATTCGTGTGTCTGTGAGTGTAGGGTGTGTGTGTGTGTACGGGAGTGTGCATGTGTGTGTGTGTGTGTGTGTGTGTGCGCGCGCGCGCGCGCGCGCGCGCGCGCGTGATTGTGCACACCCATGTGTGCACTCTGGTGACTTCAAATGTGAATGGAAGTGATGGACAGTGACTGGGAGGATTTGGGCCCCAGCCCCGGAGGCTTGTGTTTGAAACCTGGCCTCGAGTGCTGTGTGACGTGGGCAAATCGCTTACCTTCTCTGGGCGTTAGCCTATGTGCCCCTCCTCTTTGCCCAGCACATGACCTCTGGCCCCGCTGTGGCTTCATGGAGGCAGGTTTATGAGTGGCCGGCCTAGGTGAACGCAGAGGTGGTGCTGAGCTCCGGGTCTCAGTGGCTTTTGCAGGCTGTCTGTGTGTGGCCCGAGGTGGCGGCTGTGGGGCGGGCCCTCCACTCTGCTGCACGTTTCCGTGTGTCCTGCCCACGGCCGTGTCTACCTGTGACTGAGCCTGTGTAGTGAGAACATGATTAGATCATAGGTCATACACCGGCTCATAGCATGTCACTGCCTCTCGGGGTGACAGCTCCTGGCAGCGCCTGCCCTTGTCCCAGTGATGGCCCAGGTCCTGCTGGATGGAGAGCCCTCTGCCCCGGCCCCGCCCCCACCCCTGCCCCTGCCCCTGCCCTGCCTCTGCCCTCACCGAGTGTCCTGGGCGCCTAAGCACTGGCTGATGCCCTCACTCCGGAGCCAAGGTCCCGGGCATCTCCCAGGCTTCAGCGAGGGGTCTCAGGACAGGGGCCTCTCAGAGCCTTACTCAGCTCACCCCCACCGAGGCGCCTCCGGTGCTGAGGGCCTGCTCCCCCCTCTCGCCCGCAGTGAGGTTTGACTGGGACAAGTCTCTGCTCAGAGTCTACTCGGGCTCCTCCCACCAGTGGGTGCCCATCTGCAGCGACAGCTGGAACAGCTCCTACTCCGTGAAGGCCTGCCAGCAGCTGGGCTTTGAGAGGTAACCTTCCCGGGGTCCTCCGGGCCTCAGGGCGGCCCAGGCGCCGTGCGGAGACCTCTTATTAGCATGACTCTTGGGGACCAGGGCTGAGGACACTAGCCCGGGCCTGGGGCCGCACAGGTCTGGGCGGGCAGCCCCGTAGCTCTGCAGCGGGACCCACTCGCGCCTTCCTCACCGGGAGCGGTCACCCGGCCTCTGGAAGCGAAGGCCCCTGGCAGGTCTGGTCTCCTCGCCTCCGAGCTGGAAGCTCGGGCTGGCCGCCTCCAGGGGACTCTGCGCTGTGGCAGTGTGCCTCGGGCTTGACCTCACAAAGGGGAGAGCAGTGGGCAGGGCGGCCAGGGACCGGCATCCGCACGGCCGGCTGAGGCCAGGAGGTGGAGGAGGGGAGGGGAGCTCTGACCTCTGGGATCCCAGTTCGCAGGCCACGTGGTCACCTCCTTGCTCCCCGTGGTCTGTGTCTTGAAGTCAAGTAATGCTGGGGTGTGTCCATGTGTGTGAGGCCATGGGGAGAGGAGCTTAGGGCCTCACTGAGGGCTCTTCCTCACTCAGGAAGAAGCTGCTAGAAAACCAGGTTGGGAGACGAGGACTAGACCCAGCTCTGTCCCTGCCTCAGGCTCAGCATTCCCACCTGCGAAGGGGAGTCTGGGTGATCTCATCAGGAGACTCTGGACATTTTCTAAAAAATATATCTTTATTGGTTTCAGAGAAGAAGGGAGAGGGAGAGAGATGGAAACATCAGTGATGAGAGAATCATGGATCGGCTGCCTCCTGCCTGCAACTGGGCATGTGTCCTTGACCAGAATTGAACCCAGACCCTTTAGTCCGTAGGACCCTCTATCCACTGAGCCACACCAGCCGGGGCTGCTGAGAGTCTTTGGTGCAGGCTCTGGGTCCACGGGCCACCATGCCGGTGGAAGGGGCCAGGCCAGCGTGTCTCAGGGAGAGCGTCAGAGTCCCCCCAGGGCCTATTCCAACCCAGGACAGACCCCCTCCCCTGATGCAGGAGGGCTGAGGCTCAGTCTCATTTCCAACAAGTTCCTGGGCGGCAGGGGGCAGGGCTGAGGCTGCTGGGCTTGGCAGAGAACACTCTGGGTGTGATCATAGCTGGGCTAACTATAGGGCTAGTGGGGCAATCGGGGTTAGGTGGGCGTGGTCAGGCCATATGGAGCCTGACAACCCTGCCCCCCACCCCTCCCCGTCACCAGGGCTGGCCAGGACCTCCCGGGCGGGGGGGGCGGGGGGGGTGGAAGAAGACCCCGTATCAGAGGGCTCACTCTCCCTCTCCCCTGGCAGTGCTTACCGGACCAGCGAGGTGGCCTTCCGGGGCGCCGCCAGCAGCTTCTCCGTCTCCATATACAACTCCACCCTCCAGGAAAGCCTCTACAGGTGCGGGCGGCCAGCGGCCTGGCTGTGAGCGGGTGAGGGGGTCAGGAACTTGGACATCAGGGAGCCCCACTTCCTGGGCCTCTCTGGACCGGCCTCCGGGAGCCCGTTGTGAGTGTCAGGAGCGCCTCAGACCCGGAACTCATTCACCTCGCGGAGGCTCGGTGCAGAGAGCACCACTGGGTGGGGGTGTCCCCAGAGGTTACCTGGCTGCCAGAGACAGTGAGTTTGGGGGCCAGCGGTCGGCCAGGTGTTTGGAATGAACCCCGCTGCAGGGTTTTAGAGGGAGGAGCGGCAGCAGGGAAGTGCCAGTGGCCTGTAAACAGGGCCCACCCGGGGCATGGCCTCCTCCCGCACCTCCTCACCAGGTGTCAGCTTTGCACTGTGGCCCCACAGGGTCCCATCCCACTGAGGGGTGGCGGGGGCACTCAACCAGCTGGCAGTGTCTACCTCAGGAGACGGGAGACAGAGAAGCAAGGCTCCAGAGGAAGGGTGGGAGGGAAGGAAGGAGCCGGCTGCTCCCGGTGCCTGCCTTGTGCCGGCAGTGCCCGCACTGGGCCAGGTGACCTGCAGGCTCCTTGCTGACGACCATCACAGAACCTGCCAGAGGAGGGTTGGGCTGCCTGCCCAGCCGTGGAAGAAGCTGGGACAACAGAGGCACCAGCTCAGAGGATGGGGATCTGGGCAATGTGTGCGGCTGCCACTGGGAAGGCGGGTGGGGAGAGTGCGGGGGGCTTGGCGGAGCTGTTTCCAGGCCCGGTGAGCACACCGAAGGGGCCTCCACCACAAGGTCGGAATCTCCAGGTGTTTGTGCCAAGGAAATGGGAGAGGAGCTGAGCAGGAAAGGCTTCTTGGAAGAGGTGGCTCACATGCCCTTTTCCCACCTCTGTCTTTCCTCCTTCAGATCCGAATGCCCTTCCCAGCGGTACGTCTCTCTCCAGTGCTCCCGTAAGAAGATGCTCCTCCTCCTGTCGGGGCCTGTGGGTGGGAATCGGGGCAGAGCGGTGGGGCCTCTCTGGGGCCAGGGCTGGCCCGGGGTCCACCAGGAAGAGGGGCTTAGCCAGCAAGGGTTCCCGGAAGGCACCTGGACCGTTCCAGCCCAGCCTTCTCTGCCCTGACCTCAGCCCAGCGGCTCCGCTCACACCAGAGAAGCACGCTGGACTCACTGGGCTCTGGGCAGGGGCAGAGGCCTGGAGAGCAGGGCTGGCCGCTAACAGCCCCTCTGGCCACAGGCAGAGGCCTGGATCTGGCGTCAGCACCCCACCGTGTTATATGCAAGGTGCTTGCCTGCTTCCTCACCAGCATGAGCAAGTTCTCGGGAGGCAGGGACTTCTACCGGCTCCGCGTTGAAAGGAAACGGAAGTGTTTACTAGCTTCAGGTCAGGCCTCTGGTGGGGAGGAGCTGACCTCTGACCAAGAGTCTGACCCCTAAGCCCTCGCTGGTCATTGGACCCGAGTGGACAGTGTTCTCAGCAATGGCCACTGGGGTGCTCCTCTGAGCGGGACGGAGTGCCACCCCAGACACTCTGGTTCCTCACTCCGTCCCCTGGCAGCGGAAAGAGCACATCTGCACAGACTCCAAGGCCGCCCCCTCGCCCGCGGTTTTTCGGGCTGACTCACCCCGGGAGGTGCCGGGGAATGCTCCCTGGAAGGAAGGGCTCACACTGCGTGAGCCGGCCACGGAGGAGCCCCGTGGGCACAAAGCCCTGCGCCATGGGAGGCTGTCTGCTCTGGCTCTAGGGAGGGAGTGGCGGTCCAGCACAGCACCTTCAACTGAGGGTCGTGGAGATGGATGGGCTTCCCGGGCTCCTGACAGAGGGGGTATCGGGCACCCATTGGGCATTTGCTGAATCTGAGGAGGAGTGAACGGGCAGAGGAAAGGACTACCTAGGACCAGACCCCCTGCTGGGTGGTTCCAGGTGGTCAGCCGCCATGGGGCCTCTGGCTGGGCAGGAAGCACTGGGCCCTATCAGACCCAGTGGGCAGAGTGGTGTCCATGGGCACCCTGAGCCGTCCTGGGCCCGGGGAGCTTGGCAGGGCTGGGAGAGCAGCAGCGCTGACAGGTCACCTTCTCTGCTTCCCCCAGACTGCGGACTGAGGGCCCCCACGGGGCGGATCGTGGGCGGCGCTCTGGCCCCCGAGAGCAAGTGGCCGTGGCAAGTGAGCCTGCACTACGGCACCACCCACATCTGCGGGGGCACCCTGATCGACGCCCAGTGGGTGCTCACGGCGGCCCACTGCTTCTTCGTGTAAGTGCTGGGGGCCAGGTGATGCGAGGCCTTGGGGTCCGGGGTCACGGGAAGGGCTGGTATGAGGCTGCCCTCCCTCTCCAGCGGCCGGGTCCCTGCCATGGTGGGCAGCAGGCCTTTGGTCATGGGCATCTTATTCAGCACCAGGCCCGGCAGGAGACGCTGCTGCTGCCTGGGGCCCCAGGAGAGCGGGCGGCAGGAGGAGCCTGCCCTGAGGGCCCCGCGCTGGCTCTGGGCTGCTGGTTTTGGAACCAGACTTACAGGAGAGGAGCCTGGGAAATCAGGACCCTGTCTGGGGACCTGAGGGATGGGGGAGGGGTGGGCAGGAGAGCCGCCTGGGGGCACCGGCCCAGCAGGGAGTCCTCCAGGGGCCACTTGGTCCTGCCGAGAACCTGCTTCCACTGAGGACAGTGATACTGAGATGTGTATGGCCCTGGTTTGATCTTTGGGGCGCGCAGAGGAGACAGTGGGGTGACTGCCCCCAGAGATCCTGCCAGGCCCCTCCCTTTCTGTTGGAGGGTGCAGGGGCAGGCTCCAAATGCCTAGGGGGAGAGGGGGCATTGCTTTGGACCTCTGAGCTAAGACAGGCGCCTCCGGAGGCCATGTCATCCCTCTTCCTGCCACCACGCTGAGGCCCCAGGTGCAGCCTGTGTGTACACACACAGTACTGTGAGTAGCACACGCCGTCCTGTGTGTGCACAACCTGCCCTGTGTGTACACACGCTGCCCTGCGGCGGGCGGCGGGCAGGTGACTGTCTTGCTCCCCTGTGGCCCCGCAGGACCCGGGAGAAGGTCCTGGAGGGCTGGAAGGTGTACGCCGGCACCAACAACCTGCACCAGCTGCCCGAGGCGGCCTCCATCGCCCAGATCATCATCAACGGCAACTACTCGGACGAGCAGGATGACTACGACATCGCCCTCATGCGCCTCTCCAAGCCCCTGGCCCTGTCCGGTGCGTGTGTCCGCGCTCGCACCAGCCGGCTGTCGGCAGCCCTTGCTGGCAGCACCTGCCAGCCCGGGTGGCAGAGCTTCAGTGTGCGGAGTCGGGCTCAGAGGTCACTTCAGGGACACCTTTGTGTTACAGTTAGGGAAGCTAAGGCCCGGAGGTTGGACATGAGTTTGCCCAAATGACACAGCTCCATTGCAAGTAGGTGCCGGGCCAGGGCCACGGCTACGTCACAGGCTCCCTAGCAGGTAGATCGCATGTTCTCCCCGTTGGTCACGGAGCCCTCGCCAGGGGCAGGCACGGTAGGCGTGTGGCAGCTGTGACTTCGTGGCTCAGCACAGCGGCCCTGCGGGCAGGCCCGTGTCGGCTTAGTTCACACGGAGGAGATGGAGCTGTGGCGGCAGCTCCAGGACCGGCCGGTGGTCCGGCTCCCGGCACCCCTCTTCCCACTCGGCTCCGGGCGGCAGGGCTGGCCCTCGAACACCGGGGAGTCATGTGCAGACACCCCATTGCCGTGAGGGGGGTGCTAAGGACCAGAGAGGCACACGCAGGGGACAGGGAGGGCTCCGGCAGTGGGCCACTCACTCGGTCATTCACTTGCCGACCACGGCGCCCGCTGCGGAGTGGGCTCCGGGGCTGCAAGTGCAAATGGAGCAGACAGCCAGGGGGCCGAAGGTGAGGTTCCGAGGGGCAGGGTATGGGCTCCAGTGGGCCCGGCGGAACCGGGAGGCTCTCAGAGGCAGGCTGGCTCAGCGGGCCGGGCTGCCGGGGGCCTGGGACGGCTCTCTGGTTCGTCCGGCCTTTCCTGTGCTCTGGCCCGTCAGCCGCCTCTCCCGCACGCACCTTACCTCGGAGGCGGGGCGGGTGGTGAGTCAGAGCAGTGAGCGAGCTGGTCGGGTGGGGTGAGGAGGAGGGAGCCTTGGCGGAGCCTAGCTGGCCGGGCTGACCCAGAACTACCCCTCCTGAGCCACAGCCTCCCGTGGGCAGGCCCCGTCCTCCCCCCCCCCCTCCTCCTAACAGGCCTTGCCCACCCTATGCAGCCATCCCCACGCTCTGCGGACCAGAGGAGTCCCAGGCCCGCTGAGGGCCACCCTGGGCCAGACCTGGACCTGACTCTTGGTTTAGAAATGAGAGCAGGTGCAGTCGCCACACATAGGCTACGCCCTTGCGGTCACAGAGCATCAGAAAGAATTCATGGAAACTCACTGGGAAACTTAATTTCCCCATAAAATCAGCAGAATATGTAACAGGTACAGATGTTCCAGGCTCTGTGTGGCAAAACTAGGGATAGCACATTTTAAGAGATGGTGTTTGCATATTTGTTAATATTTGATACTATCCCTTCATTTATTTCTTGTTTACTCTGAAGCAGACAGGTATGTTAGATGCCAATGTGCAAAGCCCAATTTATAAGAGAATTTCTTTAAAATATGTTTTTATTGATTTCAGAGAGAAAGGGAGAGTGGGGAGAGGGAGAGAGAAACATCAATGATGAGAGAGAATCATTGATCAGCTGCTTCCTGCACACCCCACACTGGGGATTGAGCCTGCAACCCAGACATGTGCCCTAACTGGGAACAAACAGTGACCGTCTGGTTCATAGGTCAATGCTCAACCACTGAGCCATGGCTGTAGGGGAATTTAACATTCATTCTCCCTCCCTCCTTCTCTCTCTTTCAAAGTTACTGAGCATCTTAGTTCAGCCTATGATCTCTGAACGCATAATAATCTGGCCACTCGGTGAATGTACTATTTATATAGTAAAAGACTAATATGCAAATTGTCCCCTTGACCAGTAGTTTGACCAGCAGGCAGGCCGGCCAACCGCCCATATCTCCTCCGCCTGGCCAGGATGGCTGAACCCCACCCATGCATGAATTCATGCACCGGGCCTCTAATATATGCACACACACACACACACACACACTGAGCGGTCAGATTATTGTGCATTCAGAGATCATCATACTCTGGCCCTCAGTGTAGATTCCAGGTGCAGGAAGCTGCAGTAAGCAAAGCAAGCAGCTGAGAACATGGCAGATATGTGTCAGTGCCCATGTTCTTCTCTGGAGCAGGACGTGGTGGTCCGTGCCCCCTGCAGGAAGAAGTCCTCAGGGGAGCACATGGAGTGACCCACAGCAGCACCTGCACCTCTCATTGTCTCTGACGCAGAGCCAGTGAGCAGCGATGCTGTGGCCTGTGCCTTGGAGGGTGTCTTCCTGCCGAGAGAGGCTGTCTGCCCCGGAGGGAGAGCCTCGGGTCCTGGCCACCGGCAGGGGCCCTCCCAGCCAGGCTGGGCACTCCCTGAGACAGCGCGGCCATCCCACTGGACATCGCCCGTGACTGCTCCTTGCTCCGATGGACAGGCAGGGGAGCCGCTCCTGGGATAGAACACCCGGTCGCCAGGATCTTCTTGGTCAGAGGAGCTTCTGGCACAGACCTCTGCCCACAGGGCCCTCCTGCATCAGGATGCTTGGGGACTCTGTAGCACCCTGAGGACTGGGGGGCCAAGATAAAGTGATTCGCTCTAGTTGGTGTGGATCAGTGGATAGAGCGTCGGCCTATGGACAGAAGGGTCCTGAGTTCGATTCCAGTCAAGGGCATGCACCTTGCTTGCAGACTTCTCTCTGACCCCAGCCCTGGTCAGGGCTCGTGCAGGAGGCAACCAATTGATGTGTTTCTCTCACATCGATGTTTCTCTCTGTCTTCCCCTCCCTCTTCCACTCTCTCTAAAATCATTGGGAAACTATCCTCGGGTGAGGACTTTGAAAGAAAGGAAGAAAAAAATGAGCCCTAGAAGACTCAGAACTTCTCCGAGGACAAGAAGAGGCACCTAGGACATTAGTCCCCCATCCCTCCCCTCCCCCGCTGAGAGCTGGGTGCCTCCACTGACGTGCACTCTCCTTGCAGCCCACATCCACCCGGCCTGCCTCCCCATGCACGGGCAGACCTTCAGCCTCAACGAGACCTGCTGGATCACAGGCTTCGGCAAGACCAAGGAGACAGATGGTGAGAGGCTGGGTGCTAAGCTGTGTGTGTGTGTGTGTGTGTGTGTGTGTGTGTGTGTGTGTATGAGTGTGTGCTCGCGCGAGCGCGTGCGCGCACACTCGCATGCAAACGTACCTGTGTGCAGTGTGTGGGATGACATGCTGGGGGTAGGGAAGGCCTAGCTAATGAGGGTTTGGGTCTCCGATCTCACGGGCCTGGGTGGGGCTGTGTGACCTGTGTGTATGTCAAAGCAGTCATGTGACCATGCCCTCCGGCTAAGACCACCGTGAAACTTCTAGAAACGAACATGTGGGGCTCTGCTCCTGTCCAAGGAGGACATTCGTCACGGAGAGCCAGGGCGCCTCTCAGCAGAGGCGTCAGGAAGGACCCGGCACAGGGCCTGGGGCTTGGGTTTCCGGGGAGCGTGTGTTTAGACCGGAAGCTGTCAGGGAGCAGGATAAGTCCCTCAGTCATCTCGTCTGGGGCTGTGGCCACCTGGCGTCTACAGCTGCCATCGGCGAGGAAGTGGCAGCCGTCCCTCCTGGTGGGAGGGTGCTGGCCTGCGAGTTGCATGGCGGCTGCATTGCTTGCACCTGTACCTGCCCAGGTTAGGGAGCGGCCATCACGGCCCTGGCACGGCCTTGTCTGGTGTTGGCCTATAGGGTTGTTCCAGGCGCAGGAGACGGCCCAGGCCTGTCTGGCCCCATGAGACACAGGCTGGGCTCCCCGGCTCAGCGTGCCTGCCTGGGAGCTCTCTCTCTGGCCTCGGCTACCGGCTGACCAGTGGGGTGATTGGCCAGTCCCTCCTGCAGCCCGGCCTCCTCCATCTGCAGGGGGTCATGGCCTCCTCATCTGCAGGGGGTCACTACACCTCCTCCAGCTCATAGCTACTGGGAACAAGGGAGGGAGGGCCCTAGTGGACGGCACTTTGAACACGGAAAAGCCCTGTGCAACATGCAAGGCAGACTGAGACGTGTGTCCATGTCCATCTGACTTTGTCGTGTGCAGTGAGCGGTGTCTGGCGTGAGGGTGCGTGTGGGCGCACATGTCTGGGTGGCCACACCGAGGGGGGAGTCGGGGTCGGGCAGTGGGAAGGCCGGGAGCTGACATCTGACCCCCCCCCTGAAGAGAAGACGTCCCCCTTCCTGCGGGAGGTGCAGGTCAGCCTCATCGACTTCAGGAAGTGCAACGACTTCCTGGTCTACGACAGCTACCTCACGCCCCGGATGATGTGCGCCGGCGACCTGCGGGGCGGCCGTGACTCCTGCCAGGTGGGCTGCTGGGGGCTCGGGCTCCGGGACCAGGGCCAGCGGGAGGCAGAGGTGCCGGGTCGGAGGGGAGTCGGTGCCCAGCTCTCCCGCACAAGGCGCCCTCCCCGCTCTGCTGACTGCTGAAGCGTGTCCTCCCCACAGGGAGACAGCGGGGGGCCCCTGGTCTGTGAGCAGAACAACCGCTGGTACCTGGCAGGGGTCACCAGCTGGGGGACAGGCTGCGGCCAGAGGAACAAGCCCGGCGTGTACACCAAAGTGACCGAGCTCCTGCCCTGGATCTACAGCAAGATGGAGGTGAGGCTGCGGGCACCACCGACCGGGGGAGGCGGGGCAGTGCCCACAGGTCACTGGGAAGAGGGCCCTTCCCCGCTCTCAGCGACCCCTCACGTCCCCCTGCCAGGGGTCACAAAGCGCAGAAGACAGGACAGGACAGGGGTCCCACCCTGGGTCAGCCCCGCGTCCCGGTGCCCTGAACTCCTTGTCCTTGGACGGAGCAGAGTCTGAGGGTTGGAGGGGGGCCTGCGGGGTGGGCCAGTGTTGCTCCTCTCCCCGGGTTAGGACGGCACATTGTGCGTCACACAGGCCAGGGGCCACAGGCAGCAGGGGGAATGGGGAGGGCCACGGAGGAGGGGCCAGGCGGGAGGACTCTCTCCTGGAAATGGGTCCCTGGCGGAATGGAGAGGCAGGAAGTGGAGGTTCACCCAGCAGTGTCTACGCTGGAAGGCCAGTGCTCTGCCCGCTGAGGGCGGGAGGGACAGTGGCTCTCAGAGGGGGCAGGGGAGCTGCCGGGGCTCAGAGCCCACCTCCATGACTGTCCCTTCCCTCCTCTCTGAGGGTGCCAGCCAACAGGCCGGTTGGTGGCGGCTCTGAGCGCCCGGTCTGGCTCTGGGCCCCAGCTCACCGCCCCTGTCCCTCCTCCTCAGAGCGAGGTGCGCCTCCGGAAGCCCTGAGCCCTGCCTACCTCACCGCTGCTGCCCAGGCTGCGAGGCCGCCACGGCTCCTGCTCAGGCCCCGACCTTCTCCGGCCGTTCCCTGCTGCTGCTCAGCGGACATGCAATGTGTGTGTGCGTGTGCGTGTGTGTGTGTGTGCGCGTGTGTGTGTGTGTGTCTGTGCACGCGCACGAGCACATGTGTGGGTCATGCGTGCATGTGCATGTGTGTGGTTGCTCTCCCAAGGTCTTCAGAAACCAGGAGGGTGGTGGTCAGCTCTTCCCAAACCCCAGGCTGGACACACTGGGAACCACAGTGTGGCACAGGGCACACCCACGGGTGTGTCCGCACGGAGGAGACACGCCGGGAACTGTCGCCCTCCGACCTGGGCTCGGAGGCTGGCCCAGGACACGCAGTGCCCACTGCCTGGTGACAGCAGCGCTGTCGGGATGGTGGCGGTCTCGCCCGGGCCCGGCTGCCCCTCAGGAGGACGCTCCGGCGCGCGGTGTGTGGAGCGGCTGCCGCGCCTGTGTCGACGGATCACTGGTCGTGTTGGTCACGGCAGCCGGGTGTGGATTGACTCTATTTTTATATTTAAGAAACAGAGTTGGATGTATTTTTAAAGATTCTCCCCAGATGCCTGCCGTTGGGGAGCGAGCACGGTCACGCCGAGTGCTCTGCGGGCGCATGGGCTGGCCGCCCCGGGCTGGGCAGGTTCCCGGCTCCGGTGCCTCCGCAGGGCGCGGGCCTCGGGGAGGCGCAGACCCAGGGCAGGGAGAGCCCTGGCGCCCACTCAGGCTCCTCCCAGGCATGAGCAATGGGTGCTGGTCCTCCTCGGGCCCGGAGGCGGGAGCCGCACACGGCACCCTCCCTCCCAGGGCTCTGGGACTTTGGAGGTTTTCCTCTGCTCTCTCCGTCCTTCCATTTCTCTGCTGTTTCCGGAACTCCGACATAAAGTTGCCATGGAGAGAACTCGGACACTGCCCCCAGTTCCCACCCCCCTTCCCCGCCCCCACGGCCCTTCTGACTGCCCCCCTGCCCCACCCCTCGAGCCCTGGACCTCCCAGCCTCACTCCGCTCCTGCCTCCCGTTCTCCCCTGGCCCGGGCCTGTCTGGTGGGCTGTGCTCCCAGAGGCAGGGTCCAAGCAGGTCAAACCCCCCCCCCAGGCCACGGCGGGCAGCCCGGGGGCAGTTGCCCTGGCAGAGCAGGAGGAGTGGCTGGTGACCAGGCAGTGGCGGAGGGCTGGCTACGTGCTCTGAAGGGAAGAGGGGGGGAGGAAGGGGCAGCAGCCGTGACCTCCCCCAGCCCGGCTATGGCCGTCAGCAATAAAACTTCTGTGAACATGTTGTCACTGGATTTGTCCTGGGACCCGAGGTGGGAACTTGAGGTGGTCCACCAGCTGCCCAGACATCCTCCGTGTGGGCTCTGAGTTTTGGTTCCTTGGCGTTGGGTCCGGCTCACTTCCTCACCCATTCCTTTATGGACCCATGCTCCCGCCGGACCAGGCTGGCCGGTCTGGGTGCCTGGCCAGGCCCGGGATACGAAGACGCAGCCGCGGCCTCAGGGCTCACGGCTGGGACGGCGTGGTAGACGCTGTGGCTGAGTCTGGGCACCGTCCGTGGGGCACAGGTGGAGCAGCCACCAGTGGTGCCAGAGGCCAGGGGGGCCTCCCGGGGAGGCGAGGTGAGATGCATCCTGAAGGGTAGGCGAGCAGACGGGGCGGCTGGGATGGGAAGGACACTCGAGCGTGGCTATTGTTGCCGTTTTATGCAAGAAGACACCAAGGAGAATGAAATGAGTGTCCCCAGACTCTCAGTAGTGGAGCTGACCTTTGAATCCAGGCTGTCCCATTTGAGAAGCTACTTTTCAAAGTCAGGTGGAATCCAGCTCTCTGTGGCCTCATGGGGTCTGCCTCCTGGCCGAGGGGTCCTTCTATTCTCCGCTGGACCGCTGCTGTGCGAGGGGCGGGGCGACTCCCCAGAGCGGCTGGCACACCCCTCAGAGTGTCACATGCCAGAGGCTTGGACCACGCAGTTTCCGGAACCTGGGACAAGTCATCACGAGTGGGAGGAGGCTGTTGCACGTCCCACCCTCATCCCAGGTGGGTGATTTCCGGAGGCGCGCCCAGGCCATGACAAGCTGGCAGGCCAGACACCTCCGTGTCACCTTGACGTGGGCGGGTGGCTCTGAGGGGCACATGCCACTCATTCCCCACCTCCTCCACACGCCAGGCTTCCTATTCCTGGTCATCTACGCCCCACCCCCCGCCCAGGCAGCAGGCTCCATGCTGGTCTTACCAAGGGCCTCCCCGAGAACTTGGGGGGCCATGCTCTGCAGGGAGGCAGCTGGACTGTCTGGACAGGAGGCTTTATCAGGTGAGTCCTCCAAGAGGACTAACCATTGGCCTGCACAGCTCAGCTCTGCCAGCAGGGCAGGAGAGAACAGAAGCTGTCTTCTGCCCAGCCTGAGGCCCAGAATCCTTCACTTTTACACAAGGGGAGCCCTGGGAATCTCCTTTGTTTGTCTGTGTTGTTTTTTAAATGTATTTTTATTGATATGAGAGAGGAAGGGGAGGGAGAGAGATAGAAACATCAGTGAAATAGAATCATTGATCGGCTGCCTCTTGCACACCTCCCACTGAGGATAGAGTCTGCAACTCAGGCTTGTGCCCTGACCTGGAACTGAACCGTGACCTCCTAGTTCATAGGTCGACGCTCAGCCCCTGAGCCCCGCTGGCTGGGCTGGGATCTCCTTTGAATGAACCCTTCTAATTACACACGCCACAGAGGAGCACTGGCATCAGAATGGAAGAATCTGGGGGTACAAATCCCAGCTCCCCCACTTACATGGCCGTGTGACCTGGCACAGGCTGACCTCTATTTCTCCGTCTGTGCGGTGGGTGTGTCTATCTCACGTGCTGCGGGATTAGATGGGATGACACAGGTAAATACCCAGGGCAGTTATTGGTGTAGCAGTGTGACCTCTCAAAAATGTTGAAATTGCAGCAAGAGGGCCAGGCCCTTCACCTCCAGGTCCCACAGAAAGTGAGATAGGAGAGGGAACATCGGTAAACCTCCAGGTCTCGGGAAATGTACCATTCCTCTGCATCAGCTGCCCTCTTGGTCTTATTATAGGAAAGGGCTGATCTTCCCTGGAGGTGACATGGGCAGATGGACGCCCCCTAGAGGTGGTTTCTCTAGCTTCACTGAGTGGAGCTCACCCTGCTCTCTCATCCAATGGACCAGAAGGGCTACGGGCCCTGTCCCTGCTCCAGTGGCGTCTGACTGATTAGCCAATGGAGCCAACGTGCAGGGCCGTGAGGGGACACACATTCTAATCCTCCACAGACCCCTCAACCACTGGCTCCGGCCCCATCACATCAGCGAACCGCCATGTGGCGACCTCTGGTGGACACTGTCGTCTGCATCTTCCTGGCACTTTCTGCAGCATTTCACAGCGGAGTGCTCCCTGCGTGGAGGAACTCCACGGCTCCTCCCAGCTCCCCTTCTGGAGCCCTGGCTGGGCCTCCCGCCGCCGCCTACAGGCTCCTCCACAGAGCTCCGGGGAGACCCCTCAGGCTCTTTGCAGGGTAAATGCTCACAGGGTTACCTCAGCCATCCCTGGGGCTTCCAACTGGCATCTGTGGAGCCAGCAGGGATTTGCTCCATGTCACTGAGATATAAGAAATGTCACTTTTCTTTTTGAAATCAAATCAGTCCGGCCAGCAGGGCTCAGTGGCTGAGTGTTGATCTATGAACCAGGAGGTCCCGGTTTGATTCCCAGCCAGGGCACATGCCCAGGTTTCAGGCTCATCCCCAGTATGGGGCGTGCAGGAGACAGACAATCAGTAATTTTTCTCTCATCATTGATGCTTCTATCTCTCCCTTGCCGGAAGCCAATTCCAGCATGTCAGCAGGGCTGAATCATCTGAAGATGGCTGAGGGCATTTCCTCAAACCTGAAAGGGATGCATGAATGATTGCTTGCTGCCAGACAGCTAAGGGTATCTTAATCTACATGTTACTGCCTCCTCCTGGCCAAACACAGGAACAGCCAGAGGTAATTCACCAATCTGACAATGGACTCTGTAAACTAAACCCTGGCCTTTGAAGTGTATATCTACCTTGCCTTAGGACAAATTGTGTTAATAAAGAGCAAGGGGGCCTGAGACAAGGGAGAACTTGGTTTATTTAAATCAATAAAACATATATATATAAAGGGAAGGGAGAGGGATAGAAAGCTAGAAATATCGATGAGAGAGAAACATCAATCAGCTGCTTCCTGCACACCCCCTACCGGGGATGTGCCCACAACCAATGTGCATGCCCTTGGACAGAATAAACCCTGGGACCTTTCAGTCCACAGACTGACACTCTATCCACTGAGCCAAACCAGTTTTGGCTCTTGCCAGCATTTTTTATTGTAGCCATTTCACTAGGTGAGTAGTGGCATCTCATTATGCTAGTAATTTGCATTTCTTTCATAAGTAGATACTAGTCTTTGATTTGTAAATATTTTCTCTCTGTGTGGCTTGTCTTTTCATTCTCTTAATTTTGTCCTTACTTTGGTGCCTTCTAACTTATCAATTTTTCCCCCTTTTGGATTATGCTAAGAAGTCTTTGCCAAATCCAAACTCATGAAGAATTTCTCAGATATTTTCTCTCAAGCATGTTATTGGTTCATGATTTACCTTTGGACCTAGGATCTATTTTGAGTTACTCCTTGAATCCTGTTGAGGTGGCGATGAAGGTCCATGGTGTTTGTTTGCTTTCAAGGGGAGCCCAGTGGCTCCAGGGCCATTTGTCGAAGAGACTGTCCTTCCCATCCAATTCCTTTGCCTCTTGTCAAAAGCTGAGCCTCTTCAAGCTGTCCCACGGACCTATGTCTGTCATTTCACCAGTGCTCCCTGCTCCACGGCTACAGCTTTCTAATGGGTCTTAAAGTTGGGTAGGGGAGTCCTCCAAATTAGTTCTTTTTTATAAATGATCTTGGCTAGTCTAATTCCTTATATTTCCATAGAAGTTTTGTTTATAGCTACAAGGAATTCTTGGAATTTTGAGACTGCATTAAATCTACAATCAATTTGGAGATAATTAACACGTGAACTATTGAGCCTTCCAAACCATGAACACCGTATGTCTCTCCATTTTTTTTTTGGCTTTTCTTTCATTTATTAAAAAATCTACATTTTATAGTTTTCAGCACTCACTGTGCTGATATGTACCTATTTCATTATAATTATAACTACGTGTTTAATTACATATTAACATAAGTAATATTTTTATTAAAACAACTATTTTCAAAACAAAACAAGGAGAAGAGTGGCATTGTTTACATTTTTGAAAATCCCTTCAGTGTTCGGCTTCCTAAAATGGCTGGATTCTCACACTTGCTTCAGTGTTCAATCTGTTCTAATATGTTGTTTTGGTTGAAATATATGGGGGTGGGGGGAAATTCTAATCTCACATAGATTTGGGTTGGAAAGTAGAAGATTATTTTTTATTTTATTTAATATATTTTTATTGATTTCAGAGAGGAAGAGAGAGGGAGAGAGATAGAAGCACCAATCACGCAGGCTGGGCAGAAAGTGGGAGGTTATCGTAAGAGTCCTTTCAGATGGCTGTGGAGGCTGTTCTTTGCTGCTATGCTCAAGCCGACACAGGAGCGCTTTTAAAGGTGAGTGTCGCTGTGGAAGCCGAGGCCTGCGGATGAGCTCTGTGCACTCGTTACATTAAAATCTCGGTCTCTGTGCAGCCTCAGTGGGTCTTGTACAAAGTCTAACGCTATCACATTTGGAAATGTTGGTTTTGCCTTATAAACAAACTGTTGACAGTTTCATTATAATCGAGCAAAAGCAATACGTATTAAAATCCCCGCTCACCTCATCAGTAAGTCTTTAAGGGCTGGGCGGTCAAGCTCATGGGAAGGCCGCACATTTAACTTTAAACTGTGTCGTTAGCAGTAAATACGGTCA